CTATAGTTATCTCCACCAAATGATGCATTACTCTCAGGCCGGCCTTCCACGATCCCCTACTATGAAAGGGTTACTACTAACAGTGACAGTCTGTCACTCATCGCCGGACTGCAGTCTGGTACCTGCTTGATTTTCAAGGATCGTGTTTTTTTGAGGCCCGATGACGCGCATTTCCAATCACATCTCGGCTTTCCTCTTCAGCAGTATCAAGCAGCTGTTTCTCTTACCTTAGCTGACGATCGTATTTTTTGTTTTTATCCAAAGCCACCTTTGACATTTTCGATTTTCTTGGAGAAGCCGGCGAAGCTTGAGCTTTCCTTTTCATTGCGCATGGCCGATGCTGTGGTTCACTTGTTCCGCATTTGTTTGATGTACAGCGGAGCTACATAATCTTCGGTTTATCTTCGCTAAACTTCGAGGTTCGGATCCGATACGGTGAACTCCAGCGGACTGGGAGGAGGGGACTGGTACTTGCGACGTGGCATGCGCATGAATACAGAAAGTTCCAAAAATACTATCATGGCGGATGTTTCGTCTTCGAGAAACTGCAAAAAGGTGGGTTTTTCTGCCGTGTTTTTAGCTTTTATTCTCATGCTGAAAATAATGACTTTCTAACCACAAGCCATGATCATTAATACGATCTTTTTCTTCCCTTGTAAAATAGACATCGATGTTTTGGATACTGTCATCTTTGATTCTATGTGTCAATGTACTCCCCGGCGCTTCTTTCTATCTTCCTGGGATTGCTCCCATCGATTACAAAAAGGGAGAGAAACTCGATGTAAAGGTGGGTTGCTTTATGAAAACTATTCGTTAGCCATGTGTTGTTAGGGATGTTATTCACAGTGGATACTCATTCTATGTAGCCAATTATTTTAACTATATAAGCTTATAACCTTAGCTATAATAATATTATTTTAAAAAAATCCTTTAAAGGAGTTTGCCGGTAAGTTTACATTCAGCTATGAACCTTATAATTTACATCTATATCAAATATATGTAAACATAAATAAAGCTGGAATTGTCATCACACTTTCCCGCCGTTAGAAGGCATCCATATCCAAGTTTTCATTTTTTATCATTCAATGAAGTTACCATGTCATTTACAATCTTACAATCTTGTTTATATTTTATCCTCAGGGTCAAAGTTGCAGGTTTGCAGATGTGACTAAATGCCTTCAACCCAAACCCTGATCCTTATCCTAACACCTTCAGCTGCACTCCCAGCTGCATCTGAAAATATTAAACCCAACATTTTTGATAAATTTATTTTGTCAGCTTTGTTGGTGTCTAGTTTTTTTGTTATGCATATTAGCTTATCTTGTTCCTGTATTTTATGGTTCTCATTAAATGCTGGCAACCGTCTAAAAAAAAGTGGCTACTTCGAGGCTTCTTGAGCTGTCCATTTCTGGAGGAAAAAGGGCAATAAAGTGAGGGAGTGAAAGCCTTAAATTGCCTGCAGCACTCAATTTCCAAGCCACCTTCTTTTTCATCCTAGCTGCCTGCTTTAAAAAATAACGAGAATCCTGTATATTATTATTTTGGTCATATAATGTATAGTTGGGAGTCATGAGATACATTAAAAAAATATATATGAGCGTGAGTCAATAATTAAACAAATGAATTTTTTTAAAAAAATGATTCAATCTTTCCCTGCATTCAAAGGCTATTTGTAAAGTCTACTGCGGCCAGTGTGCAAAGAAAGTAGTGTCCGATAGCCTGGGGCTAGTGGATTTTGCTATTGGGCTAGTGAATTCTTTTTTTAACTTGCCCAATGGGCAAGTGATGTTTTTTGAGGAACTTGAATAACAAAAGAACTGTGAATCAAAAGCTTTTGGGGCTAGTTGAATTGACATCTGGGCTAGTAAATGCTAGCTTCAGCTTGCCCAAATGGCAACCTGTAAAAATGATTTCCTTTGCACCCTGGTACCCCTTTCACTCATGCATGATGTAGACCAAATTATTTTGAGATTCCAGTTGAACCTCTCCATAACTGCCACCTTGGGGACACAAGAAAGTGGCCATTGTGGACATGTTGTGGCAGTTGGGGACAGACTTTAGTGGCCATTGCCATTATAGAGAAGTGGCCGATATAGTAAGGTTTAAGTAAGAGTCAATGTATGGACTGTATAAAAAGTGGCCATTGTAGAGAGGTGGCCGTAAGTGAAGATTCGAATGTATTTATTGCTCTAACCTTTAAATCTGTGAATGAAATCCTTTGCTGTTACTTTTAAATGAGATTTTTGGAAGAATCTATGAAAATAATTTGCAGTATCAGTAGCATTTTACAAACTAAAATTTGAATTTTTTTGTGAAGTCGTCCTTTTGCCAGTTGTAGGAGTGAAAAGGATGCATAATGGAAATCAGGGATTGTTCAGTCATCCAACACGCTTAAATCTTATTGCAAAAGAAATTTCTTAATTCTCACTGTGGCAACTGGCTTGGATGCTCCTTTTTATTTTACTGGCTACAGGCCCGGTTCAGATTATATTACTGGGGTTATGATCTTGAGCTCTGGATCCTGAGGTTGCTTCTGTTTCTTAATTCCTTTGTTTCATTTCCTATTAATTGGGAGGAAAAGTAATGAAACTTAGGTGGACAGTAGTTACCCTGTAACTGCTTAATTTCAGATTGAAACACATTTTTGTTTGAAAGGTTTATACTTGTAATAGTTAGTGTACGTGTACCAGTAGTGAATTAAAAATATTGTGTTTTTTACTTTTGTATTTGAAGGGTTAAGTCTTGAAAATAGTTGTTAAGGTTACAGTAAGTTAACAGTTGTATCTGTTTGTAAGAAAGTGTTAAAAAAGCCGAGATCTTGACTCCTTACTTGTAACCTTAATTTGGATATGTTTACTCACTAACATCATCAGCTGAACTTGATGACTTTTTAGGCAGTTAAAATGACAAGTGTAAAGACACAGTTACCATTTGAGTACTACGCTGTGCCCATTTGCAAACCAGACAAATTGCAATACAAGCCCGAAAATCTAGGTAAGTTGTCTAGTCAGGTTTTTATGTCATTTTTAACCCTTTAAGCCCCAATATCCACATACAAATTCTCCAAACTGATCTCCATACATTTCCTTTAAGAATTAGTTGGGAGAATTTGATAGCAGATCAAAGCATTTTCTCTTAATTGATCATTTCATAAATTCTCATAACCTTATCTCTTGACAAGGTATGAATATTGTTGGGAGAAAATTGATGTTGGTCACCATTGGGACTCAAGGGGATAAATTTTTCCTTTTAAGGTTTTTATGTGCTCATTTCATAACAGAAATTACAAGAATGAATAAACAAATTTGATTACCTTTGTAAAGTTACATCATATGATTTTGTTCTCAGGTGAAGTTCTTCGAGGGGATAGAATAGTCAACACACTCTATGAGGTATGTGCAGTTGTGTGAATGGCATCCATTATCACTATGAAGTTTTCCAAATCCAGAAAGTTTATGCTTGATTAACTAAGCATTTCCTTCTTTAGTAAGTCCTTGACATTTAGCAGTATTACTTACCGGTAATACATGTTTCTGTATATATAGCATATAAATACCATGGGTTTAGGTGACTGTATATGTTTTAAAACTGTATGTTCAATTAATATTTTTATATTTATGTTAAAGGTCAAAATTATATTCAGGGTAAAATTTTTCAACCTAAGTTGCTTCTCAATTTCTTTGTCTCCTAGCCGTGATTATCCATGAGTGAGGGCTTGGAGACAAAAGAAATTGAGAATCAACCTAGTTTAAAAAAGTTTAACCTGAGTTTTAATTTTAACCTGTAAGCTCTGTCTACACTGTCTTGTTGTTCACTTTTGGCCTGTATAATTTATTAGATCAATATGGCAGAAGACAAAGGTTGTACATTGCTATGCCAGCCAAAAACTTTAACTGGAGATGAATCAACTAAGCTTGTCAAGTTAATATCTGAAGAATACCATGTCCACATGTAAGTATCTTCAACAGCTGTCCTAAGTAAAGAATTGAGTTTCGAGGATCAAGTTTTGAGGATCAAGGCAAGTCTTGAGTCTTGAAACTTTTCCCACTCAAATGATGCCTTGTAATAATTATTATTGCCCAGCAAAAGAGAAAACAGATGAGAAAAAAGTGGGAAGGAGAGAAAAAGAAAGGAGAAAGTTGATGGGGCTGTGTCACTTTTAAACCTGAAAACTATCTAGCAATTTTGGGCAGTTATGGCTCTTTTTAGCGAGATAGTGACCAGAAAATGGCTCCACCAGCTTCAAACAGTGTTTTTCTCTGCCAAATTTTCAAGAGCAAAATGTTTAATGTTTTTTTTACCTGTATTCTCTTTCAGGGTGATTGATAACTTGCCTGTGGCTACAACATTTGAACTGGAAGGCAAGGTACATGTAAATTGATAACACTTTTTGTAGGCTAGAGCAGAAACTATTTCTTTTTATTATTGCTTACAGTCATTGCTTGGAACTTGTTAATTTGTCGGCAGGAGCTGTTGAGTTATCAGAGAGATTAAGAGTGACATTTAAGGAAGATGGCTAACATGAATTTGTACCATGTGACCAAGTTTTCTCACTACCTGTCATTTACTGTTCATTACTTCTACAAAAAATAAGTCTTTTTATGTCATTTTTATCCATAAGAATTGTTTTGAGCTGTTTTTATATGCCTATTTTCTATTTTGACAAATTCTCAACTTGAAACTGACGTTTGTTATTTGCTGTAAACGTGACTGTTGATCTCTCTAATGTTACTTCAGAAATAACAGTATGGTACAATCAAGCCAACCTACATGTCTGTGTATAGGCAGTATTTTTTTGTTTGATTTCTTATTCTATTTTACTTTACATGTACATGTAACCTTTTACTTTCTTTAAACCATAGAAACAGTATGATCATGGATTTAAACTTGGATTTGTCATAGACAATGTAAGTGCATCAAACAGTCGCTGATTTAAACTAAACCAGCATTAATAAACTGTTAGTAGTAACATTATTCAAAACCTCTCAAACTCACCTTAGAACTTTGTCTTCTCTCTTTTAGAACATTTTTTTGAACAATCATTTGAAAATGGTTCTTAAATACCATACCTATGACGAGTAAGTGTATGTTAGTTGTTATTAATTTAGTTGTTTGTTAAAAAATTGAATTACAACTATGATGACAGCAGTAAGAATAATGGTGCAATATGTAATGAGAGGTTCAATGAGCTAAAACTTTTTCAGGAGAGGAACAAGGTTGTCGCAAGTGTGAAGATCAGCAAAACAGTTTACTCAAATTTTATGAGTACCTTTAAAAATTAAGAATTCTTTCTGACAAGAATTAAGTTGCAAAAATGTACCTGTGTGGGAGACGTGTTAGGGACTATCCACTTTAGTAGACAAATTAGGAATTTTCTTTGAAACATTTCAGCCAAAATGGTGATAATTTTTGTTTGAAAGAATTTATCCACACGGGAAACTCTTTACTCTTAACAGGGAGCAGAGAAAGTCAGTTTTACAGCCTGCCATTCGGGCAAGCTGTAGCTAGCATGTACTAGCCCACAAGTCATTTCAACTAGCTCCAAAACCCTTGTAATTAACAGGATTGATTACAATCCTTCTGTTATTTGAATTTGCCCAAAAAACAGCACTTGCCCGTCGGGCAAGATAAGAACAAAAATCACTAGCCCGATAGCAAAATCTACTAGCCCTGGGCTATCGGACAGGACTCTCTTTGCACACTGCTTAACAGGCCGCCACATCTGTCAACACTTAATGGAAAGAATAACAGCTTTTTAACATCAAAATAATCATTGGACAGAAAAACACGTTTTTGTTTATTTAGCTGATTTTGTTCAGTTTTTACCCTGGGCTTATTTTGTCTTTTGTGCCTTTGAAGATTATCCTATCTCAAACAAACTTTGAAAAAACCCAAATGACCATCTGAACTTGTTAAGCATTGATGATAACAGAAAAATTGTCCAGATAAACAGCTTTTTCGCCAGTGTGGATATATAGGCCCTTACACTTCAATCTTAACCACCCAAGTTCACTTAGTAATAATCTAATCTGTATCTCTGAAACCATAATCCAATGGGCACTAGTACTGCAAGGACATGCCATGGTGAGTTGCAAAAATTTTCAATGTCTCTGGACTGTAATGAACATGATTTCATCCATCTGTATTTGGCTAATAAAAATTATGCTTTTAGTTTTTACAGAGCATGCAAGAGAAGCACTATTTTCTATGGTTCATAGTCTTATGAAATAATTCATTTTTCTTCACAGTGATTCATACCGAGTTGTTGGATTTGAAGTGGAAACAAGAAGGTAAAATACTGATTGATAGGATTTAATTCATCTGCCTTCTGTTTCTCATCTATTAACTGATAGATAAGTGATAAACATGCATGGGCAGACAGCTGAACCGCTGACAACCAGATGTTAAGTTTAATTTTTTATGTCTCCTTTTTTGATACTCTCACTCAAGAAGTCAGCTATAAGAACACAGGGGAATAGTGAGAAAAATTATAGTTGAAAATAATATTGTTTGTATTTACAGTGTTGCAAGAGATGCAGTATCTACTGAACAAGGTAGTAACAAGTGTTCCTTCACATCTGACAAGCCATCAGGACAAGTGGTTGCTCCTGACAGTAAGTATTGTTCTGTATCCAGACAGTATCCAATGTGGTATTTTAGAGTGGTCAATAGAAAATGTGACCTTCTCCAGAAAATCAATACTAATGCTTTTCCGTTTAATGGCTAAAGGCATTTACAACTCACTGGAGAAGCGTTAAAACAGGTTTTGTAAATCATTAGAAGCATTTGGAAAACTGTTAGAATTTTTTAACCTGCTGTTAAAAGCGTTAGAAAAACTATTCAAGGCATTAGAAAAAGTTGCTCAAATTTTGCATGAAAAACGTTTGAAGCATTAAGAGAAGTTGTTAGAATTTTGTTCGCTGCTTGGAAGATTGAAGCATGAGCCATGGTAAGTTTTGTTCATTATCAAACCTGATTCTTAAGGTTCAAGCTTAACAATGTATTGAATTGAGATAAACAGATAGAGAGATTACTTAAAATCGTAAAGAGAGCTTATTTCTGTTTTAGCTTTAAAATCAACAAATAGAGGCAAAAGATTGAATCGATCCCGTAACATATGAACCTGAATGACAAGTTAGCTAGGTACAGAAATTCAGTCCCAAATTGCCAAGATATCTGACAAAAATAGGTCTCACAATTAAAATGACACATTAGTAAGCTTTCTACAATGAACGAAGGAAAACCTGAAACAAAAGCAAGTTTTAAGAAAATGTGAAAACAATCGACCATGTTTTGGTTAAACATGTGCTTCAAAAATGTGCCTGGAGTACTAAGCATGGATGAACACAACGCAAACTTGTGTGGTGTGTTTTGATTGAAAGGCGATTTCTGAGAACATTTCAAAGATAATACAATGAAGAAATGAGGGAAAATAGATAGCAACAAAAAAAACCAAACAACAATTTATTGTTTAAAACTTTTTTCATGTAAGCCGTTTATGTCGTTTAGTCGACCCATTAAGCAAACCATCCAGAAAATGAAGGAAATCCGCTCAAACACTTTCCACAACTGTTAGAAATTTTTGCTTACCCGTTAAAAGTGTTAATCAAACCGTTAAAATGAGCCGTTAATGAGCCATTCATCAGCCGTTAGTTTTTCCCCGTTTAATGGAAAAGCGGCATTGTATGTTTTCCTGGAGAAGCTCACAAATAAGTAACAAATTATTTTTGTAGGGGTAACACAATTACTGGTAAACCAATAGTTTTCATTGTGGCTCACTAGGTGAAGAATCTCAACTGGCTGCAGGCAAAACCAGTTGGCTATTTACAATCATATATGACTGAGTAGTTAAACTGGAGCCTAGCAAAAATAAATGGGTAGGGATTGAGCTCAGGGTCTCCTTCCAACATTCTTTAGAACTGTTTGGCCATGCTGCCTCCTGCAGTTTATACATTAGATATTAATTTATCTGATGTTAGGTGATTCATGATCTGGCCTTTTGTATCATCTGCTAATGTTTTATTTATTTATTCATTTAATGTAAGTGGATTGTCCCCAATGTATATCAGATTAATAGTTCTGTGATATGTTTCTCAGAACTTGCTGGTTTCCATTTGCATTGACTATTGACAGTATGTGTGTTGACATACATGTACGAGCAACACACCAAGCCCCAGTTGTAACATTGTGACACTGTTTATGGGATAAATCTCTATCTGGATGGCATGATTGGTTCCCACAATACTCATCCACTGTTTGTGGGTAGTGATAAATTATTATATCTGGCAGACAACTGGGGTTGTAAACATGACATGTTTTGTGTTTTGTTTAGTAGGCTGTTTATTCTATTGATGCAGTCTTTTTTATCCTGGTGTCACTAAAAGTTTCAATAACAGGCCAATCAGCTCTATACTAGTCATTAGTCTTGTGCCTGTTGTGTTAACTAAAAAACATTAAAACGGATATTACTACTTCAAGAAAAATTTACAAACCCTAATTATTTTTTACAGAGGAAAATACTGTGGTATACACCTATGAAGTAAAATGGGAGGTATGTAAGCCTAGAAACTTGAATTGTTGTAGGCTTTGTGGGTGTTTTTTTTTATTTTTATTTTTTTATTGCAAGTAATACACACACAGAAAAGAAGCAAAAATTACACAGAATAAATAAAGTAATAAAAAGAAAAAAAAGTAACAAATAAAGTAACAAAAAAAACAAATCGCGAATTTACACACTTACATGGCAATATACTTACAAATATTAAAATACGTTACAGCAATGGTAATTCCATATATTACTGTACTTAGTATAATCTATAATTAATTTTTACATTTTTTTTTTCTTTCTTTGTGGTGAAAGTAATATAAATACTCATAGTAGGTGCACTAATTTATGTTTTTGGAGTTAGGAGACAAGACCCAGCGAGGAAAAGAAAGGTTTCCATTTTTTTTCCCATGGGTTTTCTCTATTCCGTGCAATGACAAGATCAAGTCTCTGTAGATCTCTGGTGTAGAAGTAACGATATTATTACATTCTCCTGACGTCAAACAACACCTAAACCCAACCTGCAAAAAGCCTTGGGATGAACATTTAGCAGTAAAGAAAGTTAATTTGTTGTTTGGGACAAGTGCCAGAAATGGAAATATGTCATAGACCTTAGACTTCTGTTGCCAGGGGCTGTTATTTGTTTAGATCAAAAGTGCCTGGGAGGAAAAACATGATAAGAAAGACTACGAGAGACATTGAGAATGCTCAATTGGGATAAAGTACCATTGAAACGACAAAGAAAATCAGTTGGGCATACTGTTGGTTTGCAGAACTAAGGCTAGTAATCAGAAGGCAATCAAACATAATGATTTTGAATTGGCTTTGGCAAACTGCACACTGCTCTTGCAGGAAAATTTCTTCAAAACGAGTTCTGAATTCTTTTTGTATTTGAAACCACTCTGTAAAAAACTATTAAGTTTAGTTAGCTAAATAAAGTAACGACTTATTGGCATTTGTAAGCAAAACATTTTTTCACCGGTTTCATCAGTAAATTCAAGTCAAACAGACAAAGCCTTATCTGTTAAAACTTCCAAACCGAATTTTGTCACCTTCCTGTATTTCGGGAACAGCTTGTTTGATTATTTGTGAAATTTCTTTGTTTGTTATGGCAGCAAACCAGGAAGCTATTTTGTTTGAAATGTACACAAGTTTGGCATCGCTCGCTCACTCAGTGTAGCTGGAGGTGAATCAGTGAATCGCACTTGATATCCCGAGTTTGAGTAGCCAATCAGAGTGAGCAAAAAACACTGTCCACTGTTTTAGTATAATACTAAATTCGATTACCAGAAGCCGTCCTGTGTGTCCTCAAGGGCTATTTTCTAATTTAAAAACAGATGTGATATATGCAGTTCATCAGGGGCATTAAAGACTTTTACTTCATTGTTTAATACTTAGAACCTTTTTTCATTTCACTTGGGTTGATTAAAACAACTACTATACACTTTGGTCTTGATAAAAAAGAAATGTAGCTCTATCAAACAGATCTTCCTGATCCAACTTGTCCCCACATTTCACTGAAACCTCTGAACTTCTCCACTTTGGTGATGTTACAGGTCAAAATAGAATTCAGGTTAGAATTTTTTAATCTAGGTTGATTCTCAATTTCCTCTGTCACCTAGCTCTAATGCATGAATAATTAGGGCTATGAGACAATGGAAATTGAGAATCAACCTACCCGTAGGTCCTCAGTTAAAAAATTTTAACCTGAATTTAATTTTGACCTGTAATAGTGACATAGTCTGCAACTACTATTCCAAAAGTAAACATTCAAACAAGCTTAATAATTCCTGATTATTGCTAGTGTAATAAAGTAGGTATGTACAGTGTAGTAGAAAACTGACAACCAGAGACTGATTGCATGAATTTGACTTATGATGCAGGCCAGTGATATTGTGTGGGCTTCCAGATGGGACACCTATTTAGCCATGAGTGATGTTCAGATTCACTGGTTTGCAATTGTCAACTCTGTTGTTATCGTCCTTTTTCTCTCTGGTAAGTCTGGGTACTCTTTTACTTGAAATCATTTAACATTTCCAAGAACCCTAGTAAACACTCCCACTCCTTGTTTTTGAGACAGTTGTGGTACGTGTATCTTGACTTCAGCCAAAACTCTCCTGGGAGACTCCTCACCATTACAGACGGTTACCCTTGTCTAAAGGGATTAACCTTTATGTAATCCCCGAATCTATGCTGTTGATTGGTACGGCAGAACATTTTCTGTATGACTCTGGGAAGGCTGGAGAAACTCTCCTCTTAGTAAGTCCTTTTTTTAAAAAAATGAGAGGCCAAAGCCCCACATCATGGGAGACAATTTATCACAGGCGTGGATTGAGGGTGAGACTTGCAGACTGACTGACAGGTAAATGAGATAAATATTGTTGTGAAATGCTCTAACAGATTCCCTATCCCTAAACTAGACTTTTAGGAGATCATGTTAAGTTTAGGGATAGGGAATAATATTAATACATAATATAAATAATAAATTAATATAGTTTATTTCACTCTCTTGCAGTTAAAAAATACTGAATGAACAAGTGATACGTATACAATCTAAAAAATACAACGTAACTATGCTAGGACTTTACAAAGAATAATTACATTATTTTAGATATGCTTAAACATGATTGCTAGTACAATAATAATTTTTATTATTATTATTGTACTAGCAATCATATTTATAAATATCTAAATGTAAAAAATTTGTCAGCTCTCTTAGTTTTTCTTAATTTGTTTATTGTTCTTTCACTAGCAGATCTTAAATTATAAGAGATAGATCTTGTTTCAGATTTTGGAATGAGGAATGATACTGGGTTATTGTGATTGCTAGCCATATCACAGACAAATTGACAACACAGGGAAACCCTTCTATTTGCTAGAGATTGAGACGTTTGCCTCTAAAAGGGCTTGATTATACACTGTGCATTCAGGATGTTTAATTTTGAGTGCTCTCTTTTGAGTACATTCTATCCTATCAGACAAGTACTCTGGAATGTCCTGCCAGACTTGAATCACATATTCTAAAATTGATCTAATGTTACTTACACACACTTTCAAGATGTCATGTGGGTTGACGCCTGCACGTTTTAATAGTCTTTGGGCATACAAACATTTGGGGCTTAAGCAATGATACAGTCTACATGTGAGTTCCATTTAAGATCTTCCCTAATGATTACTCTGAGTAGTTTGTATGTCTTCACAGTCTCAACTACTTGGTTCCCAATACAAATAGGTCTCATTACAGTATTACGATTTACCATGAAGTCAACAACCATTTCCTTGCATTTCTAAATTTTCGGGTGTCACTTCATTCTATGACTTATACAATACTCATGAATGTCTCTAACTGCTATGTCAAGCATACTTATATAATTTCTTGGGATGACTTCAAGTACAGTAGTATCATTGTCATAGTGTTTCATCAACATAGCATTTCAACATTTTACAGCATTGTTTACCTCGTTCACCTCATTCTATGCCCATGGTAAATAATTGTCTCCCCTACATCACAGCCTCCCTGTTGCACTTTCAGTGGACTTCAGCCTAGTGCAGACATTTTGCTCTGTAGCTTTGATGACTTTGTTGTTAGAGATTTGACTGCTTTTAAATACCAATGTATAGGACTTGATATGCATGTATCACGCATACAGCTTTTATTAATGAATCTCAGGTTTTTAAAAAAGATTATTTACCTGTGACTTTTTTCCCTCCTTAGCTATTGTATCTATGATCATGATCAGGACATTACGGCGTGATATTGCACGATATAACAAGGAGGAGGAAATGGTAAAGAAGCCTATTGAATGAAAAGTCCTAGCTGAGCTGAACGTGGAGATAAGTCTTCTAATGATACAATCCTTTTTAATCACATTATGCCTCACAGGAAGACACTATGGAAGAAACTGGCTGGAAACTAGTCCATGGGGATGTATTCAGACCTCCTCAGAGGGCGTGGTTACTGACAGCATTTGTTGGATCAGGGGTGCAGATCTTCTGCATGGTTCTCATCACATTGGGTAGGTATCTAGTGAACTTGTTTAATGTTATTACATATGATTAGCGATGTTTAAGGGCAGAGGATTCATTTATGGACAAAGAAATAAATGATCTATTCATATGATTTTAACATGTGTAACGTTGAAGATTTGTAAGTTTAAGAAGTGGTGTTGGGTATGCAGGGTTTCACTGTGAACATTGTTAGCATGTCTTATGTATTTTTATTGTTATTTCAGTATTTGCAATGCTTGGAATGTTGTCTCCAGCCAGCAGAGGAAGTCTTGTAACAGCTATTATATTTCTCTATGTATTCATGGGGTGAGTACAAAACAAAAGTGCTTGAAATGACCATGTTTTTTTTCACTATATTCTTTGTATTACAAATAAATGTAAAAATTAAGATAACATACATATACTGTTGGCCAAAGACTCCAGTTCCTACCTGCAATGAAGTCTCATATTCTTTTAAGATCTGTAGTTAGTGGCTTCTGTGTCACCAAATTCTGAACCAGTAATTCATAACCACCATATTTTTAATGGTACAATAAATACATCATACTTGGTTTGTGCTTTCCTGTTTCTTTTTCTTTATAGGATTTTTGCTGGTTATTTTGCTGCTCGACTTTACAAGACATGCAAAGGCCAAAACTGGAAGAAATCTGCGTTGCTGGTAATTTGTAATTTCCTTATTGATGACCAACACGCTCATCTGCTTTTCTTTGACATGGATGCTGCTACTATGTTTGCATTAGATTTCTGACATTAAAATTTCTTTATCAAATAAGAGGAATATTTTACTACAGGCATCATAACGCATTTCTATTGTTTGCATTACAACTCTCACTCTCAATGTCCAATATTATTGAAGCTTTTGACTGCATGCCAGCCTTCTTTAGCAATGACTGAATTCACTGATAAGTCCTGTAACAACACTGAACTCAGACATTGCCAATGAAGACTTTGAGACACAGTTCAAAACTTTGATTCTTTAATATTAACGGACCTTGAGACCAGAGTTCACTCACTCAACCTCTTCATCCCGGCTGGGACATAAAGCTGCAACACTAGAGTTACAGTACAAGTATTGAACTTCAAGGTCAAGAATAGCATACTTAATATTTTATGTTTATTATGTTTTGTTCCCCAGACAGCTACTTTGTACCCTGGATTTGTTTCCATAGTTTGCTTCATCTTAAATTTCTTTATCTGGGGACAACACTCATCTGGAGCGGTAAGGCTTATGAGAAATAGTTCACATTGAACGTGCACAAATGGACCCTTTGCATAGACAGACACCTCACAGAAAGTCATAGTCTCCATGGCAAACAGATACTGCATAATTTTAACCTTTCTCAAATGGACACTCTCCTAAGCAGGCACTTTTTCTGATTGCAAGAATGTCCAGTTACAGGATTCATGTTTTACTGTACCTCACAACATTTTAAGGTTTTTTTTACTTCTCATGACATTTATTCAATACATTTTTTGCTCTTAATACCGTTCAGACATTAGTCCCACAGCCAAAAATGGCAAATTAACTTCACTCTACTCCTGATGCCCAAAAAACTGTATTGACATCTGATAGGTTTTCTGTTTTTGAAATAATTTTTTTTAGATTCCTTTCACCACTATGCTTGCCCTGCTCTGTATGTGGCTTGGGATTTCAACTCCTCTGATTTTCCTGGGCTATTACTTTGGATACCGAAAACAGGTGAGTTATCCAACTGTAGGAAATATGTGTCTTGGTGATTAGGGCCACTCAAGTTTACACCTGTTAAACATGGTGGGGTTGGGTACTGGATGGTTAACAAGCCGCAAATATCCAATGTTGTTAACTCTTCGATCATGAGCTTCAAAAGAAAAGCGAAAATCAAGGTAAAAGAACATTTTTATTGTATATCACTTCATGGATGGGTTGGCTACTGTATGCATGCAAGAATTGTGGTTCAGTCCGGCTCGTTCTGTCAGAACCTTGCTTCCCTGAAATGTATCTTTGATTTTATAACATACCGAGTCAAACCCTCAATGAAGTTGGGACTTTTTACTGCCAATGACCAGTTTTACCAGTGTAGTTCCCTACTTTCGCTGTTGTTCAGTTTACATGTGATCTTTACTTTTGTTTTCCATCCAGCAGCCAAAATAATATGCTAAATATGCTTTGCTATGTGCATTTAAAGAATTTAACGTAGGAAAAAAAAACAAGAAGGAAAACTGGCTCTTAACGTGGAAATTTCCTTGAAATGCAAGGGGTTTATCTTTCAAGTACCAAAAATGTGCAAGGGCTTTGGCAAGGAAACCGGTGGTAGCATTGCCAAATGTCGGCTGTTTTCTCAGGCTACTTTTTTGCTATTCATTGGTAACTTGAAATGGCAAAAGAAGTCTGGTACTGCCCCTCCGATTATCCTAAGAACTTCAGACATGTGCTAAAGGATATTTGTGGATGGTTACTCAATTGGTTCCTAACCCCACCCAACAGGGCTTAACTTAGATGACCTGGTGTTCTTCTAGGGTTGCCAGGTTTTACAAAACATGTATATCTAGATCTGTGTCTTGGTGACTAATGAAAGCTGCCAATGTATTGTTGTACAGATATACATGGTGGTCCTCTTCAAATGTTAACAGTTGGAAGTTTAGTGGCTCCCTGCTGATGTGTTCTCTGTTTCTCATTGCACCCAATTGTATCAATGTTTTCTGCAGAAAATTTAATACTTCATGCTCTTTTGGATTTATAATGTACTACAAAATGTTTTGTGTTTCAGCCTTATGAGCATCCTGTGCGAACCAACCAGATTCCTCGACAGGTTCCAGAACAGTCCTGGTTTATGAATCCTTTGCCAAGGTACATTGTAAATATAAAATAAAATAAGTAAACCTCCTTTTTGAAAGGTTTGTAATTGTCGTGGAATTCTTATAACTCTGCACACTGGTTCAAACAAGACTCAAGAGGACTGCATCTTTTGATTGAACAACAGGATCTAATCCAGTTGAACAATCTATCACAATGTACAATTCTCACTTATTCAAGGATCAGAAAAGAACTGCTGCATTCTAAGAATACAGAGATTTTTTCTTTTATCCTTGCATAAGGCAGTATTTTTACACAAATCAGATGTACAATGTCAGATTTCTTTCCTGACTGTGATAAAGACCTGACTCTGGCTTTGTGTTGTTCCATAACAAAAACATGTAAAACTTTAACTGGTCCTGTCATTCTTTTAGTAACCTCATGGCTGGCATTCTTCCTTTTGGTGCTGTATTTATTGAACTCTTCTTTATCTTGTCTGTAAGTATATATTTTTCTTAGTAACATTAAGAAACAAACTCATCAGATCACAAATTCACATATTTTGTGATACTCAACACATTTATTTAGCACATGCCTTTAACTTTTGTCCATTCAACAAGATATCTAGTGATGAAAATTCTGATTTTCCCAACAACCTTGATAAAAATTAAAGGAGATAATGGCTATTTTTTGGTTTACAGAAATTATTTTCTGAAAGTCCTAAAATACTCTTTAAATCTGCAAATCTATTTGGTATACTAATTTTGAATATTTTACGTTGATGCCTCTAGGCTATCTGGGAAAACCAGTTCTACTACTTGTTTGGTTTCTTGTTTTTGGTCTTCCTGATTCTCGCCAGCTGTGTTTCCCAGATTTCTATAGTGATGATCTACTTTCAGTTGTGTACTGAGGTAATCTTGATATTGTAGACTTGGTAAAATTTGGATCAAGTTAGCACTGGACACACAGAAGAAACAATACTCATTGCTTTTAATTATTAATACCGCTATACCTTATTTACTTGAATAAGTGCCGCCCCCAATTAAACGCTGCCCACGAATAAGCCCCTTGTTTGGGAGAAAGAAGTTAATGAGGACTGCCCCTGAATAAGTGTCGTGGCCCTGATATAATCAAGATCAAAAGACGTTAATTCTTTTAATAATACTGTAGTCAATTCTTTATCACCTCCAACTTTCAAATAAACACTGCCCTGGAATAAGCACTGCTCTTTAGGAAAGAAAAATTTAATAAGTGCAGGGTGCAAAGAAAGTCAGTTTTATAGCTTGACATTCAGACAAGGTGTACCCAACTTGTGCTAGCCCACAAGTCATTTCAACTAGTCCCAAAACCCTTTTTGATGAGCAGGATTGATTACAGTTCTTCTGTAATTTTAATTCCCCCGAAAAAACACTTGCCGATTGGGCAAGTTAAGAACAGAATTCACTAGCCCAACAGCAAAATCCACTAGACCCAGGCTATCGGACACTACTTTCTTTGCATGCTGAAGTGCTGCGGTGCTTTTTCAAGTAAATACAGTATTGCTGCAGCCTTAACCAAGTATAAATGGATGCACTTAACTTTAGGTCTCTCTTACTTACCTGTTTAAGGAATCTTTGTTGGATATTTTGAATGTATGACTTAAAGCATTGGTGTTTCTTTTTACAGGATTATCATTGGTGGTGGAGGTCATTCTTTACATCTGGTTCCTGCTCTATCTATGTGTTTTTATATGCTGTTTTCTACTTTGTTACAAAAGTGAGTTTTTTTAGCATCCAAAGCTCAGTGGATATTGTGATTTATGGAAATAGTACTTTGCATTGGTTTTTGCTGTTTTCTAGATTAACATGAGTACAAACTACTGATCCTAATGCTATGCAACATGTTTACTTGATTAAGTGCCCTGGGTGCTTACTAAATTTTTGAACCTTTAAGGTGGGCATTTTTTCGGTTCTGGGCTCTCATTGAATTTAGCAATAGTAAGTTTATTTTCAATTGCAACAAATCATGAAGATGTTCCAAAGAAGAATTTTACGTAACTGTTCATTGAAAGTTTAAAATATTAAGAAAACTTGGTCTTCAGGAAATCCTCTTAGGCTATGCCAATCAGTATTTTTGTTGGGTGGTGGTAGGGGCTGGGCGATTATCAACTTTTTTTGCTAATAGGGTGGGCAGTTATTTGAGAGGTTGAGGCTGGGGCTTAATCAAATAAATAATTAGGGTAGATTCTTTCTCTAAATGCAGTTGTAGTAGCTGAATTACGGTGATCACAGGAGTTTGCTTTCTTTGGTGTTGTTTTTGTTGTTTTTAATATCTCAAATTAATCCCGCTCTCCTTTGTGTCTGCATTCATATTTCTGTCTGTTGCCTCTGGCAAGCATGGGGACAGGGAGCAGTGGGAAAGGGAATCATCCCTCTAGACTCACGTCCATATGCAGGAGCAGGGAGTTAACAAAATACCAGCACCAACTTGAACCTCAACATTTCCTTTGTGCCATGAATGATTCACTTTCGTCTGCCCTGTTCCTCATTTGGGGATTTGATAATGACCCGCCTTCTTGACTGGTCTTTTCCTTAGCTTGTAGTGATGTTGATCATGATGATGATGATGACTCACGGTCATATTTTGACAAAATGGTTTTTTCTTTTTAGCTTGACATCCAAGACTTTATCCCAGGCTTACTATACTTTGGATACACAGTTATCATGGTACTCTCATTCTGGCTTCTAACCGGCTCGATTGGTTTCTATGCAACATACATCTTCATCAGACACATTTATGCAGCAGTGAAAATTGATTGACAAGTGGACATCTTTGACTTTAGCATCAATGATACATTGCATAAGAAGTAAATCACAACAACCCTGACCATCAGCTGCAATAGCTTAATCTGTTGAATGGAAATTTTGTTTTTCAAGGGATATGCATAAATATAAAATGAGATATTTGCAGTGGCAGAAGAGGTGATTTAGTGTTATGTAAATTCTGGAACCTGTTGTTAAGTTTTGTCAGCTTTTCCCTGTTCAGATTTCTTAACAACATGTATAGCTATTTTAACTTCACAACAGGGGCGGATCCAGGATTTTTTTTAGGAGGGGGTGCACTCGTCTCGAGCTCTACTTCAACACCAATAAAACACATAATTTTTTTTTGCAGAATACCAGTTGTATTAAAAAACCGCAGGTCATCTCAGGGGGGGGGGGGTGCGCACCCCCTGCCCCCTCCCCCTAGATCCGCCCCTGCACACCCCAATTTCTGTTATGTAGAATGATGTATCTAGAAGGCCTTTAGTGGTGAGAATTGCTCAAAAAGTGAACACTTTATGCCACAGTTACATTTATATTTCTTGTCTAGACTAGACAGGCACCAGTACTTTTATTTTGCATATTTAAAGTATTTTATAGTGGTAGAGAATCCAAGAGGCCTCAGTGCTGTTGAAATAACAGTTTTATTTGAGTATTTGTTGCCAAAGATTATGTAAGTGGTGTAGATTGTGTCAATGTTATAATTAACTTAAATCTGCAGCTGATTTTCAAGTCTACTTGCTCTTGAAGTTGTGTACTATCGTTCACTGCAGCTTCATGAAAACAGCTTTTGTTATTTAACAGTTAAATGCCTCTATTTTGCAAAGCATTCAAGTTCTTTAGCTGAAACTGTCATAAAGAAAAGAAAACAAAAGAATTGATATTAGACTATGAACATTGCTGTAGGTGACAAGAACTAGGAGGTAATGAAATTTGTGGGAAAAGAAGGAGACAGAAATGACAAAAAAGGCTTGATGCTCTTGGGAAAAGGGTACAGAGGGCAGATAAATAGGGAAAACCAAAGAATGGTTTGAAGAGAAGTTCAACCTGCATGACAGCTGTGACTGTGTTTTGTTTTTGGCACCAAACAATGGAAAACTCACTGGAAAACCCAGAATTAAATATTGAAAAAAGTATCTTAAAACCATTAAATACCTGAAAAAAGTAGCTCCATGCAAAAATACTGCTTAAAAATAAGTTCCTTCTTCTTGGTGTGCATTGTTACAGTATATACCAGCAATGAGGGATAATTTGCAGTATTATTTGATGACTGTGACACAACTTTATCATATAGTGGCAGCAGATTGCGGTAGATATTCTAGCCTATTATGCAGGAGTATACCAGCTTGACAGAATGAAAAGTTGTAAGTCTGCATTCTCACAATGGAACAAAAAAAATTGTACAAGAAATTATAGCTCAAAATGACAGAACATTTTATTTTAAGCTAAATTCCTTATTTGATGGTTTGACAGATATTTGTATAGTAGATGTTTTGCATGCATTTTGCTTGCCTTTCCTTGCTTCTGCCTACTTCCCCATATAAATAATAATAATATAAATAATGATAATAATAATGGTTATTATGAATATTATTACTATTATGAGTGATTTTACTTGATGCGTGAAACAGATACTAACAACTACTGCAAAATAGCTACTAGCAAACAAAAGAAGACAATGGAATTAGTGCATAATAGTGAGTAGTATTCTACTACCTATTTCACGCTTTAAGGAAAATCACAGTATTATTATTATTGTCATCATCATTGTCAGTATTATTGAATATTACATTATTATTATAATCATATAGCTTTATAAAACCATCAAATAAGGGTTGAGTTGGACTGCAGCACAAAATAGAATTTACTGAACTTGAAACTAACGTGAACTGCTGCTTGTCCTTTGGACAAGTAATTGCATGCTAGTTTCAGTTTGCTCTGGTTTAGTTTATTGAAGACAACTTTCCTAGGCCTTTCCCAAAAGGCAAGGAAGCAAGAAGAAAAAATGTACCTTTGGTGTAGATAACATTGTAATTTGTGAGGTTTTTGGCAATAAAAGATTGAATAGTGGACAAGTACATAAAACCCTGTTTCTCCCTTAAAAAATCCAAGTACAGTTCTTCGTTTCATTCATTTAAAGGATGTGGCCTTCTGTGCACAAGTTACCAGCTAAGAATAAAAGAACATGTATCGTGTGAATTTGCCTTGCATTTGCATGCAGTGATGATATAGTGCTTTTACGAACAGGTTAGTCATTAAGTTGGCCATAGCAGTTTTAATTTGGTAGGATTATTGGGGATCAAAGCACTGTTTTTTTTTAGGTGGAGCCACATGGAGATTGGGAGCAACTAAAATTTTTCAGCTTGTGGAAATCCCTCATGGCTCTACTGCTTACTTCGTGTGGCAGCTTTCTTTGCCAAGTAGGTACCCCAGGCATAACAATCCTCCCAGCTATGCAAGCTATTGTTTACAGTTTCCATCTAAGCCTACATTTACCAGGCTCTATCTTCAGCCATGAGTGTCTTGTTGCGCCCTTAATTATTTGGAGAGAATCACAGGCACATTTGAAATGCTCACATCTTAGAGACCGAGTGTAACGTTTCACCTGTGCATGTAAAGTTGGTGTCAGAGATAAGAGCTATCTTCTACTATTATCAACATTTGCAGCTGACTTGCAATAGACTTTTTGCTTAGTGCAAGTCATATTGCAACAAGTGTTTAATAGGTTAATATAAAAGTTCATGGAAGAAGATCATTTTAATCAGATAAAAGCACTGACAGTGTAAGGGTGGTGAAGGAAAAGGACTTTCCCTAACCACCCATGAGATGCCTTAAGTTGAGAGCTTGTTTATTGGTTATTATACTGTCCCACAGTATGGTGAAATCTTTGCAAAAAGTGCAAAAACGCTAACGAAGATTGTGTTGAGTGTAAACCAAATGCAATAAGTTTCTTGGGTAGTTCAGTGCGTGTTTTTAGGGCCCAAATAATAATGTTAACATTGTCACGGTTTCATAACTTGCTGGAGTTTTCCAGTTGAACAAGGACAAAGGAATACTTAATCAAGTAACCACCTTGCAAGAATTTTGCAAAAAACCCATTTATTGATAAATCCACTCGCAGTTATTTTCATAATATACTAAAATATTATATTAAGATCTGTCAATAACTTAGCAAATTGTACACTCATATTTACATAAAACAGCTTCTTGTAGAAGCACTAAGTATTTTTTTAAGCAACTAAAAATTTTCATAGTGACTTTGAAAAATATGTGTCAATTCCCAAAATCTTTCCCAACCCATATTAGCAAAAAGGAGTAACATTACCCTGCGTTTTTCATTCTCCTGCTCGCCCCCTCCCCCATTGTTTTCTCTATTGACCTTGCGTGCAGTTGTCTCCACAACACACACTGAGCAGAAAAACCCACCAAAAAATTGCCAGCTACACAGGCTAGTGTAACACTGTCTTGTTCTTGTGGAGTTTTTATAGTGAAACTTACATGAAGGACACCCAAACTTGCTTGTAAAAGGGAGAAGTTGAATATAAATTAATCACTGTACAATTTATTTCTATTTACAAATAGTAGCAAGGAAGAAACAGAATGGCCCATAATTTCTGAACTGTTTCTTCTTTTCACCGTTTGGCAAGTTTATACTTATAAGAAAGAGAGTCCAGGGCCGAGATATTTGAAGCTTCATTAGGCCTTCATCCTGGGTTAACTGTAAATTAATTTATATGAAATCTAACATACTACTTGTCATAGTAACCAAAGTAAACTCTCTCTTAAGCAGACGCCTTTGGGTCTCGCTCTTAGTGTCTGTCTTTGACAGATTTCCCTGTTATGGAGAGTTCAATAAAGGGAGTAACGATAGGCAGGGTACAACTCTAGGTGTCCATTAGCAAGGTGTTTGTTAAGAGAGAGGTTACTGACACAGTACAGGTCACCATGATACAGATCTATGAACAGCATTAAGTGTCTCCTAGCCCTAATCTCTTTAAAAATTGCTTCATTAGATCGAGGGGAATCTGTGGGGTTGGGTAATTTATCAATAGAGCAGCGACCTGTACTCTTGATCTTTGGAATGTGACCTGTACTTTAGACCCAGCACTCAAACAACCAGCTGGTTAAGGTTAAAAAAATATACCATGGTATACCACACAAATTTAAAGCACTCTTCTTGTAAATTTAAAAATGGAAATAAATTTTAAAAGTAACCTAATTTTAATTTTATAAGAGTCCTAACTTGTAACTGTTTGTTCTTTGTTAATTTGTCTTTGTGCAAAATCTTCTAAAGCCTTGTTCATTCTTTCTCTTGTCATCATTGCTTGAGCTTTTTCTACCAACTGCTGTTCTTTCTCCTGTTAAAAAGACGTTATAAAGTTCATTTAATTAAAATAAAAGACAGTTACCACATAAATCATTATTTTCATAATAGCACCAAAGCCACTTTGTGTATGTATTACTGGTATGCATAATTCAAGATCATATGAAAAACACTTGAAGAGCTTTCATTTCATTACATTTGGTCTCGATCTCTACCAAATTAAAACAAGATGTATTTGAGACAGGTTTTGGATGATCATCTGTCAGTACTCAGGCTGGCTTCTAGCCTGTTCACACACATTTTTTTTCCTTGACAATTTGATGAGTGCGTGAGCAAAGTGAGCTCCAAGAACAATTGCAGATCGAGCATGGGTAAACTATGTGCTATATATTTTCTCCTTTCCCATTGCCACCCTCTTGCCATTGTAGTAAGAAATCCCCAACAGTTTTCATTGTTATATGCAAGCTGAGTGATCTCTGAAGAGAAAATAGAGGGTCTGTGAACAAGCTAGCTGGCCTCCACAAAATGTAGACCCATACTGGAAATATTACTTTAAGAGATACCAGCAGTGGTTTTATACCTTTCTCCGGTCGTCTGCATGCCTGAGCTTTTCGTCAATTTCTTCTTTAGTTCTTCTACCACTTTTCTTCTTTCTTTTTTCCAGTTTTCTAAG